GAGTTACGCCAAAACCGCGCGCGAGCGCGGGAAAGGCCACGGAGGGGAGGGGAAACAACCGGATCAACACACTCGTACTCCTAAGCAGACAGTCCCCCAGTTCAGGTTCCCCATCCCCGCCCGGATGAGTACTTACATACATACATGCATGCAATCAACAACCCGCGACATGACATATAATCATCCATGGACCTTCGACATCACTCATGTGCACAACCAGCTCCTATCACTCGGGGCTTCACACACACGACATGCATAGACAAAGCAGCAATGGAGATAAAAGCGAGTCCTTCTTGTACACAAAAATTTCAATTAGCTGCCGCCCCCAGGCGCAGCCTTTTAAACTCCCCAAGACCACCGACCACCATAGCCACAAGGCCCTGCTGCAGCTGGCGTCCAATCCCCACCACTGCTTAGTCCCTCCGACTGCTTCGCCCCGAGACTATCGCGGGTCCACCCCACGTCGCCACTCCGCCCGTCCTTGGGCTCGTCGAGCCTGTTCGGCGCCGCAGACTCTCGCGCATAGCTCGCGCAGCCTTGCAGCCGAGATAAAAAAGAGAGAGAGAGGAGAGGGTTGCACAAATTTATAGCGCGGGAGGCGGCGGGTTGTCAGCGCGAGGTGCGGGCAGCGCAGGTTGTAGATGAGCAGGACAGGAGGAAGGTGGGGAGTTAGAGGGTTCGACCCGCGGGATGGCATGGTCCTACGTGATTGGGGTGTCCGTTCAAGTGGCGCGCGGTTTCCCGCTCTCCACATTGATCCGAGCATCCCAACTACGCGGCCAATCACTTCGTGGGGTAAGGATCGAGCTGGGCGGAGGGAAAGACGAAGAGTCCGGCATGGGGAAAATGCGCGCAACAAGGAGGGAAGATGGCGCGAGGATGCAAAGCAAGAAACGGGGATGCGAGACGCGCGAAGAAATCGGAGCTTGGGCGCGCACGCACAAAAATTCAAAAGTCCCAACCGCACCCGTTTCTTGGTTTTCATGCCGCGACCACTATTCGCCCGCGGAAGTTATTAACCAAACAAAATGAAAAAGCCGTTTCAAAAAGAAAACAAAAGCAAAAAGAAAAAAAACCCCTTTCTATCCGCGTCCGTACTTCGGGACTTCCGCGGGATTTTTCCTCAGGGATACGGCAAGCTGCGCGGCACGGATCTGAGCTTATCACATCTGTGATACGCAGGGGGTTCCGAAAAATTAGCAGTCTCCCGACTGCTGATGTCATCATATCTTGGATGATCGGGTGGCCTCTTCATCGTTAGTTGGCCCGATCATCTTCCTAATCTACGCGGATGCATCCTGCATCCTCCATCGCCTCCTCCCATAGTATACATCCGATCGGGCGGCCCCTTCATCGTCAGCTGGCCCGATCAGTATTTTTTTTATTTTATTTTTTTAATTATATATACAACGCATCTCGACGCACGAACTTTGGAGATAGGAGAAGAAGAAGAAGATGAAGAGAAGGAGAAGGAGAGAACAGGGGAGAGGTAGACGAGGGTGATCAGAGGAAGTGATCTATGTCGGGATTGAGAGGGGGCGGAATAGGTGGAAGAAAAGCGGCCATTGCCGCGGGAGTCGCCGACGCTCCCTCCTCATGGAAGTGATGCTGGACGAATGAGGGGTAGAGGAAGGCTCCCGGCACATGGGATAGGACACATGGCGCCAGATCCGCCACTGCTCGCACCACCCGCTTGCGCACCGATCGGGGCCTCGGACCCGTCATCACCACATGAGTCTCGGTGTTAGGCCGCCGCTCCCGCTTCTGCGCCGCGAAGACCAGGAAGTGGTACATCGCATTGGGACGCTGCCCGGTCTCGTAGATGAGCGTCCCACTGGCAGCCAATCGCGCCGCAATACACCCTTGAAAAGGGGGTGTCATATATGGCTCCCACGCCGGATCAAGGCGCACCGCCCCCGCGATGGCCTCGAGCCTTATGGTGGCGGGCTCCACCATGAAGTCCACCTCGGTCAAATGGACCATCCGGCTCGGATGAACTACTAATGTCAATGACCGGGGCACCCCGAGGTGGATGGCGGGAGCAGAGAGGTCCCGCGAGGACGGGGGGTCTGGATATGGGATCTGGTAATCCCATTCGGCTTCCTCCTCCGGCAGCTGCTGATGATGATGGCCCGGCTCCATCAAGGTTGAGATCGGGCACACGCGGAACGGGCGGCGATGGCACGACAGCCTCCTTAACAAGCGTCGCCGCACTCCCAGGCACGGGGTCCGGATTTCGCGGACGTGCGGACTGAATCACCTCCTCGCCGCCGCCGATCCTGCTGCCTTGCGCCCCTGGCGATGGGTGGCGTCTCTTCCTCTTCGGCATCTTCTTGGGGGCCTTCGGTGGCGCCGGTCGGGGATACGACGAGGGAGGCCTCAACGGCCTTTCCTCCGGGAAGTCCTCCAATCTCTCCGCGCGCTGCGCAATGTAATCCGGGATGACGACAGCGTTGTACGTTCTCCGTGGGGTCGCCGCCGTCCGCAATCGCGGTTGGATCTCCTCCTCCTCGCTCGCGATCACCTGCGCAATGGAGAGGAGCTCAAGGTGTATGAGCTCCAACAATCCCGGATCGATCATCTGGAGCTGGGCGAATGGGTACAGCGCGACCGTCCCTTCCTTCTCCGCTGGCTTGGGCCGCATAATGACGTAGTAGACGACGAAGTGCTCCCCGATGTTGTGCTCCACGTAAGTTAGCTCCACTAAATACTCCAAGAACTCGCGCATGGGATAAGGGCCCTCCGTGAGCTGGTAGGGGAGGGTGGTGTAGGAGAAGAACGGAGGCATTTAGTACGGGACAGGGGGAATAGCTTGGAAGTTGAGAGGAGTAGCGGGAGGGAGAAGCACGGGGAGCTGCGGCACCAACGCAATCGGTCCGTCCTCTGTCCTATACAGCAACACCTCGTGGGCTGTGAATCGGTGTCCCCCCCGTCCTTGCAATCTGGCCACTAATCTGGCCGCTTCCACTGCGTATTCGCGCACAAAGCTGCGCGCTTGCTCCCGATTCGGCTGCGGTAGGATCGTCAAGTCTTCGATAAAGGTGGTGATGCTGTGCACGAAATTGGGTGCCACCTGGAGCGCGCGGAACTTAATGAATACTCGGGTCGTCTCCCGGTCAGGCAACTGCGTCACGTCCATGTACACCCCCGTATACGTCAGCCGATCGCAAAGCAACGAGTATGCCGCCAAATCCGCAACCCCGGGCGCCGACACGTTCACCTGCTGAATGTCGTACCGCAACTGCCTCTCCTCATTGAACCGATGCCGCAACAGGCGATCTGCAAGCGGCGTTTGGAAATGCTCGAGGGGCTCATGCTCCGACTGGCGATGGTTCATCCTGCTCCCTGAAACTCTCAGCACCAATGGACGAGGCAGATCGGGAAGAGGAGGAGGATGAGGATGAAGAAGGAGAGGGTGATCTCGCAGGAGCGGGGGTCCGTAGGGGACCTAGCGATGGCTGGAAAGGCCGGAGCGCGGCCGCGTGCCGTGTCAGCGGTCGGGCCTGGGAGTTGTGACGGGGAATCAGCTTCACGAAATGCTGTCCCTGTGCGCCAACTTCCATGACCTCGTAAATGCCTGTATAGCGCGGGGGGATCTTGGAGGAGTGCGCAGATTTTCGTACCTGCACCAAGTCCCGAACTTTATAGCGAGACAGTGGTCCCGCCGACGCGTGTCGATTCTCGTAGTCACGGATCTGCCGTTGATGTGTCCGATCTACGGCCTGCTGTCGACGGCGAGCTAACGGGGGATATGCCCTAGCCATTAAGTCGATGTAGTGGCGGGCCTTGTCTCGATTCTGGGCCCGTGTTGCTCTAACTTCCATACCTACTAAGGGGGACAATTGCACCCGAGGGACACTATTGGTTCTCAGTTGAAAGGGGGACACCCTAGTACTACCGTGTGGGGTAGCCCGATAAACGGCCAAAATGTGGTCAACAATGACCGGCCAGGGTTGGGTATCTCCCGCAGGGATATTCCGTCTAAGGGCCGTCTTAATCAGTCGGTTGGCATTCTCTATCAGGCCATTGGCTTGAGGCCAATGCCCCGGCGAGTAGATAATCTTAACGTTCGCCCTGACTAGGTGACGTTCTACTTCGCCTTGAAATTCCGACCCATTGTCCATGTGTACCTCTTCTACGTCTAGATGCATGCACAAAAATCGATTTACGTACCAGGCTACTTCCTGCGAATTCCGGCTGGTCATAGGGTACGCCTCGATCCATTTTGAAAAATGATCGACGGCCACTAAAAGAACATTGAGTTCTCCCTGATCGACGGGCCCTCTCGGAACGTTGATATCCGTCGTATCGATGCTAACCCTCTGAAAGGGGCACTCTACACGAGTGGGCACCATCGTCCGAGGCATCTGTACCGGCGCCTTGTCCGTCGCGCAGGTCGGGCAATTCTGAACGATGTATTTCACATCTTCCCGAATTCCCGACCAGTACCATCCGTTCTTTTCGATGGCTTTTTCCGTGTACTTGGCCGTGAAATGGACCGCATCCTCCTCATGAGCGGTTCGTGTCCAATCGAACCTAGCAAGAGGGTGTGGAACCATCAACCAGCTAGACTCTCCATCGTCATCGACCTTCCGTTTTTGTAACGTCGGGCCCTGCCAGCGATAGTCCTGCGCCCGCTCCGTGACTCTCCGCCGTTCGGTTTTGGTAAGTTCTGATAGTGAGTCACCTGACAGTCTTCGTAGCAACAGGAGGTCCGTCAAGGCTTCTGCCCGGCGGGCACTTGGCGCAAATCCGTCGGCTGTTCTAGCGTCCAGATACCGCTTCTCGGTAGGGACTTGGTCCGTTCTACAGTTGGGATAGACCCACGTCTTTTCACTTCGGTACCTAACGCACTGTCCGTGAGATTTGATCGTATGACATTGACTAAACTGGGCCCTCCCGGATGTGACCCTTCTTGGTCCGGGATCATGGGCAAGGTACAAAAGAAACAGGGACTTAGATGTGTTTCAGAGGACGAGTTGGGGCTAGACGAGAGAGCGAGGGAGTCGGATGAGGGCAGAGAGATAGCGTCGGCCATCTCCGATGAAACCTCCATTCCGGACTCAGGCGTCGTCCTTACGCAGCACGTGTAGCTCCCCGTAGTGCGGTTTCGTCGCCGCGACTTCTGGCCTTCACGAAATGAGTCGCTCGTTGGTGGGACACTTGTTGGGCGGCAGGAGGCGCGTCAATCCATCGACATTACCATGCTGCCGCGTGGCACGGTGGCGGATGTCGAAGTCATAGTCTTGCAGACGCACCGCCCACCTGCCTAGCGTCCCCGTGTAGTCCGTGTTGTTGCGTAGGGACAGCAGTGGCTGATGATCCGTTACCAGCACGAATTTTTGGCCGTACAGATACGGTCGGAAGTGTTGAATCCCCCACACCACCGCCAGGTATTCGGCTTTGCATGCTTCGTAATTAGCCTGTGCCTGGCTCGACGTCTTGGGCGCATACTCAATGACGTGCTCCCTTCCGTCCTTGCCGTGTTGAGTCAGCACCGCCGATATCGCCTAAGGCTGCTAGTCAGTATACAGTGTGAACGGTCTTGTCGGGTCAGGGCGCGCCAACACAGGAGCAGATGTCAGAGCCTCCTTCAACGCCTGAAACGCCGCTTCGCATTCCGGCGTCTAGATCAGTTGTTCCTCTTTCTTCAGCAGGTTCGTGAGGGGCTTCGCTATGCCGGCGAACCCCTTGATGAAGCGTCGGTAATAAGATGCCAGCCCTAGAAAAGCCCGAACCTGGGTGAGTGTGACCGGCGCCGGGGCGTCTTGAACTGCTGCCACCTTCCTCGGATCCGGTTTAGTCCATTGACCGTGACGATGTACCCCAAGAATGAGATCTCCGACAATAAGAACTCGCTTTTCTCTACGGCCACTTTGAACCCCGCATCTTTCAGTGCATGCAAAACCCACTCAATGTGTTCCACGTGGTACTCGTGTGTTTTTGAAAAGACCATAATATCATCCATGTACACAATCACGCAAAAATTGATCAGGGGCTGGGTTAGTCAGGTTTTGTTAACGAACTCAGCGAAGGCCATATTCATGGCCCGCTGAAACGTTGCAGGGGCATGGGACACCGGACCCATTGCCACATGCCCTCAAATAGGACAAAAGCGGTTTTGGTTCGGTCCTCCGGTCGGACTGCGACGTGGTGAAAACCGTGTCGGATATCGAACTTGGAAAAGACTCGAGCAGCCCCGATAGCATCTAACAAATCATCGATTCGCGGCAAGGGATACACATCTTTGGTAGTAATGGCGTTCAATTTCCGGTAGTCGATACATACCCGAACCGAACCATTTCGTTTTGGCACGAGGACCACGGGAAAAGACCACGGTCCCAGCGATGGTTCGACCCACCCCAACCGCTCGAATTTCCGTACCCTTTCCAAAGCCAGCTATCTTTCTTTAAGGGAATATTGGTACGGTCGGCAATGTCTCGGGATGTGATCCCCGGTATCAATCGCATGCTGTATCAAATGGGTTAGCCCTATGTCGTGGTCCTGAATACTGACGGCCTTAGGATAGGCCCGTATAACTGCCAGGAGGAGGCGTCTGTATTCATCCGGAACACGGGTTGGTAACTGAACTTCCACGGTTCCCCCAGGAAGGGAGACCGTCGTCGTAACCGTGGGGACCGCTGCGCTGGCATCGGGCGAGGCCCCAAACAAGGAGTTGTCGGTTTTCGCCGAAAGGACAGTCGCAATGAGTTGACTGTCCGCCGGACTCATCGGCTCACTTTCCATGTCGCTTTCACTATCCAGTTCGGGTCCGCCCGGGTTTGACCGAAAAGGCCTGCGCCAGTTCCCTCGGTCCCCACCGATACTCCCTTGTTCGGCGTTGAAACGACACCCCCTCTTTCAGGAGTATCACGGCTTTTTCATTCGTGAGTAGGGGCCGTGGGGGTCGAAAAGATAAATCGCACAACCCCCTCAGCTCGGTAAATCTTTCAGGTAGGGGGTCCGTCCTGAGATACAAGGACGCAGGGGGTTCCGAAAGGTCAGCTATTCGGGACACCCTCAGCAGGGGTTCCCCCTGCACCACGGAGGAGAACGCGTGCGACCAATTGGACTCGCTCCGAACTATTTCCAGTGGTTCTCGCCGCCAAGAATGGCGCCACCGATCCTGAACTCGGATCGGATATCGGTCGGGTACATCAGTCTTGTCAGTTTCCGTCGAGGGTTCATTTTCGTCTGGTGACAGGTGTCGGATCATGTTGACTTGATGGGCTTTCGTGGTGAGGCGAGGCGTCGGTTGGGTACGCATGCGCACCGCCAGTCTCGTTGGTATCGTTTGGGGTTTGGGGTGGGCCGATGTGAGCACCACCTTACAACTGTCAAAGTGCATTCGCGCTCCGACCGCCGCCTGCCATGGAATGCCTAACAGAACATGATACGCCTGTACATCCAGCACGATCACGTCACACAAACAGTGCACCCGCCCCACCCGTATAGGCACGTTCGTTATTCGCCCTTTACAATGAATACCGTCTTCCGTAGTGGATATATACAGCTCATCCGGTCGGAGGGGCTGAACCTGTCCTTCCCTTCCCAACTGTTTCGTCAATCTCCAAGAAATGGCGACCGCTGACGATCCTGAGTCTAGGATGGCGGCCGAGGGGTTTCCCCATACCTCGCAGTCACACTCAACGCTTTTCCAGGTTATARGATAGGCTCGGAGGAATACCTCGGGTTTTTCCGAGGCAGAGTCTAYGGTCTGGATCATTCCTATCCGGYCGGCTTCRTGCACCTTTGAGGTCGAGGGCTGCGACTCCTCGTTTGTGGGTAGGTCCCGTAGGACCGACTTTTTGCCCTTTTGACTTTCCTCGAATCGGCGCCTGTTTTTGAGGCACCGTTCGATCAA